AAGGCAGCAGGGCCTGCAGAGGGCCATTTGCAATGGTGGGAAAGATGCCCGTTCAGTGACCACAGGTGGGCTGGGGAGCCAGGGTCCCACGCAGAGCTGAGGTGTACCAAGCTGGTACCACCACCACGCTCCTCGTCCCAGGGACACAGATGGGGACAGCCCTGCAGGGAGGACGGCTTCCAGCTCGCCCATCTCCCTCTGAGGGTGCAGTGGGGACAGATAGGGATGGCCAAGGGGGCATGTGGTCTGTCCTGCAGGCAGCCCCACCCCCCAACTCTGAGCATGGGGGAGGGGCAGCCCCAAGCCCCCCAGACGTGGAGACTCCTCCTTCCTAGCTCGGAGAGGCACTGTGGCCAGGAAGCACTTGCTCCTTCCCATCAGCCCCACCACTGCCTCCCCAGGGCTGCAGGTGCAGCACAGCACGGGGAAAGACAGATTGGCAAGAGGAAAAGGGCCTCTGATTCCCTTGGGGCTTTGATGCGGTCTGAATGGGGAGGGGGCGGCGGGAGAGGCTCGCAGAGAGCAGAGGAGGGCCCCAAGAGGATGGACGGGGTGGCAGACAAGTCAGCAGCTGCAGGAGGGAGCCCGCTGACACGAGCTCCTACCCTGGGCACTTGACTTCTCTGCGGGCAGCAGTCCAGCTCCCTGCTCCCAGGAGTCCTAGAGGGGGAATTTACGACTACTGAATTCTTTGGGGAAATGTTTTTTGGGGGGAGGCTCTGCTTTTTAGGCACAAAGGAGAAAAACAAAAACTGATCACCTCTCCATGGCACAATATTCTGGGTCCTTCAGAAGTCTACAAGATCCACGTGGCCTCCCTGATGGGGGCGCCCTTCCCAGCCCTCCTCACACTGACCTATTCGACAGTCTGTCTATGCACGGGCTGCCCATGCGCTGTCCCCTGCCCCTGCACACCGGCTTGTTCCCCGCCAGCCCAGGCAACGCCTTCACCAGAGCCTTCAGCTCCCTCCACACCCCCCCGCTATGCACCACCTTGCGGTCATTTACTCACTCAACAAACACTCCCTGGCAGGTTTCTCAATCTGTGTGCTCAATCTGTGTGCTCTGGGAGCTGCACCCACTGGAAAGACACACAGACACCTGGTAGTCACAGCCCAGGCACAGGAGTCCAGGCAGTGACAGGGGAGGGCTGGGCTCCAAAGACAGCTGTGAACAAAGAGAATGGAGGAGAGGAAGAGGAGGGAAGAAGAGAGGGAAGAGGAGAGGGAGGGATCGAGGGAGGCCCACTGCCCTCGGGCCACCTTTCTCCTCTCTGGACAGGGCCCAGCCCCTCCCCCCTACCCCACACACCCTCTGGAGTTATCAGATATTCCAAGAGCTGTTCCTGCATGATAAGCTTTCTCCAGATAACCCCCTCTCCCCTGTAAATGAGTTTAAATATTGATCCGCCCAATCAAGGCAGGTTAATATTCAACCAGGTCCAGCACGGGCAGCCCTAGGGTGAAGCCATGGGAGGTAAGGAGGGTTGGACAGCAGGGGGCGCAGCCTTCTCCAAAAACTGCTCATTCGGAGGCTTGAGATGGGGGCCACCTCACCCCGGTTGGCTTGTCTCCCTGACCATCTGAGGGACAGGGACGCTGTCCAAGCCCAGAGCTCATGCAGACGCCACTGCCCTGAGCACTCTGCTCATCCTCGTGCAGGGTCCCCATGCTGCAGGAACCCCCAGAGCCACACCCGCGCACCTCACACTGGCAGGGCTGGCCCTTGCTGATCCTGCAGGACCCTTAAGGTATGGCCCGCTGAGTAGTCCTGCTGGGGCCCATCCTGTCCAACACCGTCCAGCTGGGATCCACAGCCAGCCTGACAGTACACATGGACTCACAAACAGTAATGGGGGACCGCACAGCCCAGGACTTGCCAGGATTCGGGAGAAGTCGTTGAGTGTGGCAGCTGGGCTGGCCTTGAGCAGACTGCTGGCCAGTGGGCTGGCAGCCTCCACGCCCACACCCAGGAGGCCCCATCGGCAGCCCGGGTCAGCTTCCCCTAAAGTGAAGATGGGTGGAGCTCAGAACTGCAGCCCAGCCGGGCAGACTCAGGGTGACCTTGGTGCCAGCAGACCTCAGCCTTCTCTCCTTCCCACCCTTAGCTCACACTCTCTCCATCATGAAGGCTCATTTCTCGCGAGAGGAAGGTGTTTCCAGGCCAGTGGTTTCAAAGTGTACCCCCTGGAAACCTGTTGTAAGTGCAAATTCTCAGCCCCCGACCCCCACCCTGCCCCTGGCTGGAGGCTGTATGGGTGGGGACCCAGGGCTGTGTCCTGCCAGCCCTCCTGGAGAGTCTGGTTCTCGGCTGGGCCTCAAAGTCACCTACAGCCAATGAGCTGCAAATCTGAATGTAATCTTCCTGTCTCTCACGGGTTCACTGTGTACCAGGGCCGTTCCAAACCTTTAACTACCTTAAATTCAGCCAGTACACATTGCGGTCCTGTGAGGCAGGCATTCATCCCATTTCCCAGATGAGAAAAGAAGGCACAGAAAAGTCACGTAACCTTGCTCAAGGTGACAAAAACAAATTAAAGCCAGGCACTGGCAATGGTGAGCCATTGCACCAGGGGGTTCAGCCAATGCAGCCCTTGGATTAGCATCACCTGGAAATGTTCTGACTTTATAGCTTCTGAGATGCCAGCTCAGACCCTCTGGGCGCAGAGCTCAGCCATCGGTTGATCAAGCCTCCAGCTGATTCTGATGCAGTTCAAGAAGTGCAGCCCAAAAATGAGATGTCCCACTGCACTGATCCCAAAAGCCTGGCTGGGGAATGTCTCCTGGCAATGACCCACCTCGCAGCGTGGCTCCGTGTCTGCCCACGGGGAGACAGCCACAGCGGCTGTGCCTCCCAGGCTCCCTCTCCGAGGGGTGCGAAGGAGCTGTTCTGTCTCTGTGGCCTCCGCACCGGGCCACCCTCTTGGCTACACCACACCACTCCTATGACTTCTGGTTGCGTCTGGGCCCCTGGGGAGCCAAGGCTGCACAGGCCAGAAAGACAAGCAGGTGGGGGCTCTGGTCCCTAATGGCTCTGCAGCGTTGGCACACTCCCGGCCCTGAGCTATGAATGTACAGGGTTTGTGTTCCCCAGTGTTGTATTGAAGCCTAAACTCCAAGGCCAGGCACTAGGAGGTGGGGCCTTCGGAGGGTGAGTAGGTCGTGAGGGTGGAATCGTCATGAGTGGGAATAGGGCTCCTGTATGAGAGAACCAGAGGCGCTCATCCCCCCGTTTCAGTGAGGGCCCAGTGAGAGGCGCTACCTGTGGGCCAGAACTACTGAGTCTACCGGCACCTTGATCATATCCTTCCCACCCTCCAGGACCTGATAAATAAGTTTCTGTTGTTTCATAAGCCACCCACTCAACACATGGTGCTTTGTGTCAGCAACCCAAGGGATTAAGACACCCAGCATGCTCCTCCTCGGGTTTAGAGTCTCCAGGACGGTTTCCCACACTGCTTAGAACATGCATGTGCACACGCACTGCATGAGGCCATGCCAGTACAGCCAAAGGGCAGGGCAAAGCCAGGAAGAACAGGCCAGGCAGACCACCGGGCAAGTCAGCACCTGCACTGCCAGAGAAAAACGAAACAGAGGATTCCAAGTACTGTTTTGTGAAAGTCTTTTTAAATTGAGAGGCAGAGAGACAGAGTTCCCACCTGCTGGGTCACTTCCTAAACACCTGCAACAGCCAGCCAAGACTCCGGATTAAACCTGGAGCCAGGAACGCCACCCAGGTCTCCCATGTAGGCGGCAGGGATGCAGCTACTTGGGCCATCATCTGTTGCCTCCCAGGGTCTACATTAGCAGGAAGCTGGAGTTGAGAGCCAAAGCAGGGCATTGAACCCCGGGATCTTAACCGGCTTAACCACCAAGGCAAACACCTGCCCTGTGAAATTCTTACTATGTGGGTGTGTACCATTTAACATTGAAGACTCCTGAGAATTTCCACGCCATCCACTTGAATCCCCCCCCACACACACACACACCTACTGTGGACATCACTCCTGCTCCCCTACAACAGGCTTCTTTGGGATCCTGGAAAACCCAGCTGTTTCTCGCCTCTAAGCTCTCTGCTGCTCTGCATTTCTTTTTTTTTTTTCTCTTTGTGTGTGTATGTGTGTGTTTAAGATTTATTTTAATTTATTTAAAAGGCAGAGTTACAGAGAGAAGAACATACACACATACACACACAATCTTCCATCTGCTGCTTCACTCCCCAAATGGCCACAACAGATAGAGCTGCGTCAGGCTGAAGCCAGGAGCTCAGTCTCCTACATGGGTGGCAGGAGCCCAACTACCTGAGCCATCACCTGCTGCTCCCAGAGTGCACATCAGCAGGAAGCTGGAATCAGGAACAGAGCCAGAATCTGAACCCAGGCACTCCAATATGATGTGGGCATTGCCAGCAGCATCTTACTCACTGAGCCAAAAGCCCACCCCTGCTCCCATGTTCACCTGGGAGCCTTGTCCTGAGCCTGGTTTGTGCGCCTTCAGCCCCATGTAGACAGGTTGTATTCCTATCTCACAGACGAGGAGCAGCCTGCTCAACATCACATGGATGCAGGACAGCAACCCACGACCCGAAGCCTCTCGCTCTGCGAATATCCTCTGCTCCTCCCGGGGGACGTGCAGACAGGTGAGACGGGACTTCAACAGAGTGTGTGGCCATCTGGGGAGTGAACCAGCAGATGGAAGACCTCTCTCTGTGTCTCTCCTCTGCCTCTCTGTAGCTCTGCCTTTCAAATACACAAATAAATCTTAAAAAGACTAGTGTTAACTCAGAGTCAGAGCATGGTATGGTGGGTGCCAGGGCCCAGAGGGAAGAGGAGGGAGCCAGTGTTCAGGGGATAGAGACTTCTGGAGGTGGATGGTGGTGATGGCTGTGCAAGAATGTGAATGCATGCACCACCACTGAACTGTGTGCTTGGAAACAGTTAGACAGCCAATGCTATGTTTGCTTATTTTACCCAACTTCAAAAACCAAACTGGAGACCTGAGTCGCAGGGGCTTCTTACAAATGAGTTTTATTTGCATTCTGACCCAAGCACAGATCCCACACACAGATTTCTCATGTGCACAATGGAACAGTAACAAGTGCAAAATATGCGATACTCCAGGTACAAAATGACATGGCAGGAGGACAACTCCAGTCTCCAGAACCCATCGCACCCACTTGGCCCAGCCCGATCAACACCCCACCACCTTGAGAAACTAATCACCCAGCGTGGAAAAAGGCGGGCAAGTTACATCCTGATAAAAGAGGCACCACTTTAAATACATGCACATTAGCGGGACACAGGAGCCTCACTTCCACCCTGCGAGAGGGCTGGCAGGGCAGCATCCAGGCCTCACGGAGGCTTCCCAAGCCCAGGTTGTCCCGCCCACCTGAGCACATGGTCTGGAGCCAGGGCCCACACTGGTGCTTATCCAGGTCAGTCTGTTAGCACCTGTAGGACCCTGGCCTGCAGCCTGAGCTATGGGGAGACTCTAAGGAAAAGCATGGAACCCAGAGCCTGGCCTCGGCCCAGGCCACTCCTGCAGCCGCCGTCTGCACCCAGTGGGAAGGCAGAGAGGGAGACAGAGGCTGGATGAGCTGCAAGTGAGCGGCACCGCCCCAGCTGCACACTGGGCCACACCGCCTGGAAGTCCTGCCCTGCCAAACTCTGTCCAGGAAGCTGGCCCTCACACCCACCCCACAAAGGCAACCATGGTCCAAATGCCGTCCTTCTTAGGAGGCAGGGCAGCAAAACATGTGGGAAGGGGTTGCAGGTCCCCAGAGAGGCCAGGAAGCCCTCAGGCCACGGGACACTCCCTGGCAGTGAGGCCAGGCTGCTACTCCCAGCGTCCAGTGACCAGGCCACAAGGCTGCCACCCGCAGCAGCTGGGCAGCCCGTGAACGCTAGAACAAGCCGTGGCTCTGTCAGGCCTGGGGACCCTGGCCGCAGGGATTCAGGCCAAAGACCTGACAGCTTCTGGAAACGGGAGAGCAGGAGGGGAAGAGAGGGAAGAAAGGGACTCCGCCTCCCCAGAGACGCGGGGCGGGGAGCTCAACAGGAGGCAGCTGGAGAACCAGAGCCTTCCCAGGGGTGCTCGCAGCCACCCAGGAAGCGGCACCCTCAGCCGGCAGAGGGCTCGGAGCCCGCTCAGCCGAATCCACTCCTGCTTCACTGCGCAAGCAAACTGCTGCTTCAGGAGTTAAGGAAGTCCTTGCTGTCCGGGACTTCCGGCAGCCAGCCCGGCGGGGACGGAGCGTGCTGGAGGAAGGCTCTGTGGCTGGCAGACTGCCTCTGTCTAGCTCTAGGGAGGAAACAGGCTTTAAGGGCCAAGAGGAAAAATCCATACGCTGGCACGGCAGGAAGCAAAGTTTCCACCATTTTTGAACTGATGAACTTAAAAATATACTAAGTATTTTTGGGGTAATATGGTTCTACTAATGAGAAGAGTGGGGCTTTTTTTTGGGGGGGGGGAGTATTTTACCTAACTGGGTGCTAGGAGAGTGTTCCCCATCACCAAACAGGCACAAACGCACCAGCCCCAACCCGAGGAGGCAGGGCAGATGCTGGTCACTGCAGAAGCCACTCTTTTTGAAGAAAGTCTAGAAACTCCACAGAGAAGAGCCTTTCTGTCCCCTACAGCCCACCAGGCCTCCTGGGGATGGAGGGCGTGAGGACCCCTCTGGAGAGCGGGTGGTTTGCTGCCTGCACTGGCAGCCCAAGCTGAGGCAGTGACAGCTCCTTCCCACCCCCCACCCCCTCCAGCTGTCCCGCACAGAGCCACAAATCCACACCTGGGAGTGACTAGCCAGGGCCTCTGCTCTAAAGGCCCCAAACAGTAAGAGGGGAGACGGCTCTGGGCCTTGGCATGGGAGCTGCCACTCAGATCTGTCACCTGTCACCCAGCAAGGGCAGGCAGCTGATGGGTTGGATGGGTGGGGGGCATGTACAGGTGCCTTTGAGGAGTTCACGAGTCTCAGGGATCCCCTAGATGGGTCCCAGGAGGGGACTCCAGGGCCCTGCCCTTTACAGGCATTGGGAAGGATGGGTGAGCACAGGGGAGCTATAGACATTGCCCACTGGCCAGTCTGACTACTGAGACCACAGAGTCCACACCCCCAGGGGGAAAGGGGCCTGCCAGGAGGCGGTCGTGTGGAAGACTAACTCCAGGGACCTTGCTCTCAGGGCCCTGGCAGATAGATGCTAGCTGTCAGCACTGCTCATCTGGCTGCAGGGGCCCACTTAGGGAGCACAGAGTCCTACCCAGGGCAACCTAACCTAACCAACTCCATCAAAGCCTCTGCAGGTGTCTCCTAAGATCCAAAGGGGATCAGTCGGCAACCCAGGGAGCTTGTCTTCTCCAGCTGCAAAGGTGGTTCTGAGCCAGAGGGAGCACTCATGTCCACACCCGTGCCTACGTGAGCATGCATCTGGGAGGTAGCTGGTGGGGAGCACCGAGGGGCCCTGGAAGTGGGCTGACGGAGAGCAGACCACACTGGGAGCTAGAGAAGATTCCCAGCCGTGTCAGCATGCATGCAACCTTGCCACGCAGGAGCACTGGCAACACAGCCAGGACACGCACAGACCAAGGCCACCTGCCCACTGTGTGATTTTGATGCAGAGAAGGGGAGACTCTCTGCTCCTCAGATTCACCCCATGACCGCTGGCACAGACTCCCCAGGTCTCCTAGGGAGGAGACAGAAACCCAAAAGTGGTGAGCAAGGGTCTGGGGCCCAGGAACCCTCTGGCTCCTGTTCCCTTTCCTCCTCCTGCGCCTCGGGTGGTGCCAACATTGGATCCCTGAGCCCCTGTGCTCCTCTGCTTCCCCACCTTCCCGGAGAGCCCAGACATTTCTCCCTCTGCTCCAGGACAACAGCAAAAGAGGCTTTTCCATTTATTTCAATCCGTTAATGATTTTCAGACCGGTCACTCAGGCCAGCCCCTGAAGCAACACTGGACTTGGAAACTTGTCCCACGCGGCTCAGCCAGCTCCAGACGGCTCCAGGTGAGCCTTCTCTGGGTTAATAGCTCTGCTTAAGCGGCCTGAGGTCACTGGGGCAATGCTTGACCTTTGTGTAGGACCCCAAGCCAAGACTCTGAACTCTCTGCCCCATCCCTTCCACCCCTCCCCCTGACCCCTGACCCCTTCCCCCAAGGAATCCCATTGTTCTCCCACTCAATGGCTTCAGTCTAAGGTGAAGGTGCAGCCTGGTAAACAGGAAACGTTTATCACAACCTTGCAAACAGATGCTGGCCCCACGCTTCAGAACTCAGCTTTGGGCTTTGGGTGCAACTCTACAAGCAGAGCAGCACACGGCCCCTCTTCTTTCCCTCTGGGGTCCCTTTCAAAAGGCTGCTGTGGCCAAGCAGAAGCCACAGCCTAGGACGCGTCAAGGAGGGGAGGAGCCACCCTTCCCCATAGCAGAGTGCTATGGCCTTTCTGTATCTCAATGACATGAGAAGTAACACCCATGGCTTTCTTTCGCAGACAGGACAAACTGCTGAATCACAAAGCTCTGACATTTTGGGACCAAACTACCCTGTGTACTCTTCTGATACTTATCATTTTCCATTGCTTTGTCAGCTAGAATATGTCACCACCACCACCTACAGGAAGCAGATGCCAGCACCCATGTCACAGCATGCCAGAGAACAGACTCTGCTAACAGCAAATAAGACATAACCAAATTTATTAATGACCGTCTTTTGGAATTCAGAAAAATAAAAATAAAAATTTAGAATTTAAATCTCTCCTGGCATCAGTTGGCCCGGGTAGTGGCATCTCTTGGGTGTGGTGACCAAGGTCACCACGAAGGCTGGAAGACAGAAAGCCAGAAGGCCCACAGTCAATATGAGTTCTGGGTCTTCCAGTGGGTGGTGGGACCTCAAGTGAATTGTTCATTTCTGTGGGACTGAGGTTCCTGCTGATTCAAAGAGGAAAGGACTGGTCTTGAGCTTCCTCTAATGTGTAGAGCTGGAATATGTACCAGGAAGGACTGCCGAGCACAAGGCAGGGACATGGCCCAGTGCTGCTGAGACAGAAAGGGGAGACGGCAGCAAGAATGGGATGGGAAGACCATTGTAAAAACGGTGGAACCAGAACAGGACTGAGTTTTTAAAAAACGGTGGAGGGAGCTTCCCAGTGACATCAACATGTCCCCAAAAAGAGACGCAGTCAGGAGCAGGAACCTTCAGCAAGGGTGCCCAGACAATTGCACAGGTGGGATTAGTGGATATCCACATGCAGAAGAATGAGCTGGAACCCCCGACTCCACACCGTACACATGTACAAAAATCAGCTCAAGATGAATCAAAGATCGCTGTGAGTGACAACTAATACTACAAAAATTCTTGGAGGAAAATACAGTCTTGGAGGAAAATAAGTCTTCTTGACCTTAAGTTAAGTGATGGTTTCTTAGATGTGACACCAAAAGCACAAACAGCAAAAGAAAAGTCTCTTGGATATCAACAAAAGTGCAAACTTTTGGGCTTCTAAGGACACTATCACAAAAGTGAAGATGACTCATAGGAGAAAATTCTTATAAATCATACACCCGATAAAGGGCATGCATATAGGATATACAAAAAATTCAGACAATTCAGGAGAAAAAAGACAAAAAGACCAACTAAGAAGCAGATGATGGATCTGAATAAACATTTCTCCAAAAACAATGCACAAATGGCAAACAAGCTCAACACAAGTACCTATCAGGGAAATGCCGACCCAAATCACAGGGAGGTACCATTTCATACCCACCATGGCAGTACAGCCAAAAAAAGACAGATAATAGCAAGTGTTGGTGACACTGTGGAGAAAATGGAAATTTACACCCTGTGTGTAGGAGTGCAAAATGGTGCCGCTGCTAGGAAAAGCAGCCTGACAGGTCTTAGAAAGCTAAACCTAGAGTTACCACGTGACCCAGTCAGTCCACTCCTGAACCTGTTCCCAAGAAACAAAAATAAATGCCCACAAAACTTGTATAAACATTCATAGCAGCATTACCTGTAAGAGCCAAAGAGTAGAAACAATCCAAATGTCCATCTGCTGATGAGCAAACAAAACGTGGTACATCATACGATGTAGTGGCAATAAAAAAAAGAACAAAGTCCTGTAAATGCTCAACACGGATGATTCTAGAAAACATGCAAGGGAAAGAAGCCAGTCACAAATGACCATGTTGTAGGATGCCATATACTGATATGTCCACAAGAAGGAAATCTGTCTACAAAGTAGATACCTGGTTGCCTGTATCTGGAGGAACTGGGCAGAAAGCAGGGAATTTTGAGCCAAGAGGACAATAAAAATGTCCAAAAATTGATCATGACTCTGAGTTGATTGTGATTCCATGAATTTTGGTAAAAACCATAGAACTGTACAAGGCTACTTCAAAATGTTCACTGAAAAACTGAAATATTATTCAGCTATAAAAAAGAATGAAATTCTGTTGTTTGCAGCAAAATGGACACAACTGGAGGACATCTCCTTTAGTGAAATGCAAGCCAGACACAAAAAGACAAACAACCTGTGGGAGCTAAAATTAAAAAAGAAAAAAGGCCTATGTGTATCAGTATTGTTGCAAATACACTTTTGTGAAACTTTGTTTTATGCCTTTGTCAAACCAATGGTTAAGAATGTACACCATGGGGCAGGTGCTATGGTGTAGCAGGTTAAGCCACCATCTGCAGCACTAGCATGCCAAATGAGCACTGATTCATGTCCTGGCTGCTCCACTTCTGATTCAGCTCCCTGCTAATGAGCCTAGGAAAGCAACAGAGGATGGCTCAAGTCCTTGGGCCCTGCACCCACATGGGAGACACAGGAGAAGCTCCTGGCTCCTGGCTTTGGCCTAGCCCAGCCCTGGCCGTTGTGGCCATCTGGGGAGTGAATGAGCAGATGGAAGACCTGTCTGTCTCTCCCTCTCTCTACTCTGCCTTTCAAAATAAATACACCTTTTTAAAAAAAGTTATACTATCATAGTTTTAATGACCTGTGATTACTTTAAAATGTATTGTCTATGGGTGAAATGGTCATCTTTCCATTTGATTACTGTTTATAGCCATTGTCTATAAATTCCCACTGAATTAGGGTGTCGTTGCTTTTTACTTGTTAAACTTCTGATTTAGGGAAGTATTAAGCTATTTCACTGTAATGTAACTTAAAAATGTCATCTCAGAAGCTAAAAATAAGAAAGGGAGAAGCAAAGGGGATAAGAGGGAGATAGGGGAGGGAGAGAATATCACTATATTCTTAGAATTGTATCTATGAACTATATTGAATCTCTTAAAAACTACTTAAAATAGAAAATTTTTTTTTAAAAGATGTTTACCTTGGTGCAAAAAATTTTGGAAATCAATGCAGTTTTTCATAACATGCATTTTTTGAAGCTGCCTTGTACACTCCAGTGGGTGAACCGTGTGGTGTGTTAATTATACTTCAGTAAAAGCTATTAGCTCCCCCTAGAAACAAGAGAAAGAAATCCAGGGCCAGTCTTCACTGTGTGGGTACACCTTGGCTACTGACCCCACAGAGCTGTTTCTGCTGCTAGAAATGGCTTCTTTCATATGATAAACTACTTATCACCATCCTATCACTCTATCATGCAAGTGGCTTTGCTCCTCTGGCCTCCATATTCCCGTCTGCAAAACAAAGAATACCTGGTTCTGACAATCTTTGAGCCTAGGACTACGTTACAAGGGTTTGGAAGGTGAAGCTGAATCAGCAGAGAGTCCTAGTGCTAGGCCACAGGAACCACAGGCAAGACAAAGACTAACTGCTGAGTCTACCATAGTTACTGATATTCAAACGTCATCTCAGGTAGGCCATTTAGAAAGGTGACACAACCATTCCAAGGTAGGCAAAATACCCTCAACATCTCCTCTGCGATTGCAAAAAGGTCAGAGTGTACATGAGGCGTCCCACAGAAAACAAAACGTCCCTGAGGAACCTGGCAAATTTAGCAGTGAAGAACTAACGTCTTCTCTAAAGGGGATTTTGTAAGTGCATCCAAGAGGGCCTGGTACCATGGTGATAGTCAAGCTCATCTGATGATACAATGGAATGCTCCCTGCCTAGTCCTCCTTGTCCTTGATTGCTCAGGAAATAAAATTATACTAAAGTAGTTCCAGAGGAATCATTGTTCCCATCCCTGCAAATGGGCTTTTTCCACAACTCCAGCAGGCTTTAGAACACCCAGCTGTGTGGCAAGTCGTACACGTACACCAGGGTGCCCACCACGCCAATACAGGGATGGAGACGAGTGCAGCTCTGGGCTTGCAGCAGCAGATCCTTCGAAATGAGGGAGAAGTGAAGTAGCAGAAGGCACACGATAACCGCACGCCCATCCCATCATTCAAGACCAGCACAGCTCACTGAGAAGGGAAGCAAACAGCAGGATGGGGCAAATCGCCTCCATCGAGTCCGCGGGGCTGGTCTCGGAGCCAGCCACCAGAGACGGGGTAAAGGGATGGGGTGAGGCGAAGCCTTCTGCAGGGCCAGTGGAGCAATCAGAAGGGACCAATGAGGTGGTACCGAGATAGATACCCAGTGAGCCTTCAACTAAGAGGCAGGAGGCCCCACTGTGTCCCTTTAGAATATGAGGGCTAGGAAAAAGAACAAGAAACTGTCCAAAAGCTGGAGGCCAGGAGTGGGGGGAAAAGACCCATTGGCTTTCTGCACACCAGACTTCGTGTCCATGGGCTTCTGCTGGTTGACGGTCTGTGGCTTCCATTGCCTGTGCAGGGTCCTTCCCAGCTCCAGGTGGCCAGTGAGGCTGCAGCTTACATCCAAAGGCGTCTGTGGGGCTGGGCGCTGGGAGGCAGGTGCATGTCCTACTTTTGCTCAGAGCCCGCATTTCAGGATGACATGGTAGCCGTCATTGCTCTCAGCTGCATAAGAGAAACACTGTGCATATTTCACAGGAAGAAAGGTGCATTCTTGCCATACTCAGGGGACCCGAAAGGAATGCTGGTAGGCTACTGGCAAATAAGCCCAAATAAGCCTCAAGGTTGAAGAAAGGACCTATGTCCAAGGAGCTTTGGGCAAACTGTGGTTCTCATGGATGGAACAGCCCCCAGACTCCTAAAGGCACTCATTGGCTACAACCCACAGAACAAGGGGGAAGTGGCCTTGTGACCATTTGGGGTCTGTGACCCACCCACATGGGCCCAAAAGGCTCCACCCTCAGCCCCTGGCTCTGAGCGAGGCATCGCTTCAATCAGACAAGAGACAGTGGGCGGGGGAGTATTACCTTTTAATGTGCTGAGGGTAAAACAAGATTCGTCTTGGAAATTCTGCACCATCTGAAAGGCAAGTGAGAGATGGCATTCCTCAACATTGAGCTCGCCATTTATGTGTGGGGTAGCAGAGCCTGGGGCAGCGTCTGCACAAACGCAGGAGCCACACGTGCCGAGAGAGAGCCATGAGAGAAAGACAGACAGCAGCCTGGGCAGGGATGGGGACGCTGCCACGGAACACAGGGCCTCAGGGTTAGTGTTTATGCTGGCTCTGCTTTGCCTTAGTAACTGGGTCATCCACTCTCTGTAATGGACACGCAACAGGAACACACATGTGGACGCAAGCACCCCAAATCCAAAAATGCAAAATTCAAAATGTTCAAATGATAATCAAACAGTCTCCAATTTGGGAGCATTCAGGGTTTTTTTTTGCTTTTTTATTTTTAAATATTTATTTATTTGAAAATCAGAGTTACAATGGCCAGGTCTGAATTAGGCTTAAGCCAGGAGCCAACAACTTCATCCAGATCTCCCATATGGGTGGGAGGGGCCCGAGCACTTGGGCGGTCTTCCGCTGCTTTTCCCAGGCTCATTAACAGGGAGCTGGATCAGAGATGCAGCAGCTGAGACACCAACTGGCACCCATACGGAATGCTGGTGTCACAGGTGTTGGCTTCACCCACTACTTCACAGTGCTGGCCCCAGGCATTCAGTTTTTAAACTCTGGGATTAGGGATGCTCTACTGTAAAAATCTATGCAAACCTTCCAAACTCCAAAACAAGTCCAAGTCTGAAACAAATGTTTCAGATAACAGATATTCAACCTGTAATAGTAGTAAATCAAAAACCATTTAAACTTTTTTTCCCAAAAAAGTCACACATAGAATATGTATGAGGACAATACACAAGGAATATGCCTGTGTCCGCAGCCATTTCCGGACATGGACAACGTGCCAGGGCTGCTTGACGAACTCCCCGGGGACCTCGGACAGCAGCCTTTTTGTTCCTGTCTCAAGGTCCACCAGTGAAAGGGTGCTGTTTCAATGATACGCACAGAGCAATGGCCAGGAGTGGGCAGCAAGAAGCAGTTCACGGACTGGACAGGAATGACTGTGCACTTTCTTCTAAGAGACACGTGCCCTGGGAAAACACCTGCAAGTGTGCACGGAGCAGCATCGCTGTCTGCAGACACAGAACTTGAAAGCAGCCCTGGTGTCAGTCAGCAGCAGGCATCTGAACCACGCGTGTCACCCAGCCACACCCCTCCACGCACGCAGAGTTCAGCAATGAAAACACCCAGTCACAGAGGACTACACCACTAACTCACTTACGTGAAGTTTAAAGCAGGCAAAATTAAATGACATGGTGAAAAGGAACAAGGAAATGATTAATACAAAATGCAGACCAGCGGGAGTGGAAGGGGAATAACAAGAGCCTAAAGGGGCTTCCAATGGAATATTCTAGTAACCTGAGGGCACGTGTGTGGGAACGTTAATGATGTTTGTTTTACACTGCACAAATGCGGTGTACACACCCCACTTACATATGCTGTATTCCATAATATACGTGTAAAGAATATTGAAATTACACACATTCATAAACACACACACACACACCCAGCACAAAAGCCAAAGCAAAGAAAGCCAGCTGATGTTGTAAGGTCTGCTCTGGATTACGACCCCAAATCTTGCAAATCCAGCCACCTGTGGACCCCTGCTCCTCACCACTTGGGCCTAACGAGGCATGAAGTGCACTTATTCTATACTGTCAGCCTGTTCCATCCAGGACTCCCTGCAGCCCAGCCACATGGGCTTAATCAGTAACTCCTTTGTTTAATTAAGTGCCCTTGCACCCCAGGGGCCGGCTCTGTGGCTGGTTAGCCTGCCTCCAGCCCTCTGGGCAATTAAGAACCAAAGGTTTCCAATTGATTCGGGGTTACGATGCAAGGAGACTTTGGGGAATAAGAATCGCCTACTTAGCCAAGGTGGCATTTGAGCCCTGTTCTCTGCTTCACTTACTTCACGGTGACTCTCGAGGGCACAGGGCAAGCTGAGGCAGGATGTCCCTCAGAGATCTGTGAAACTGCAAGGGTTCCCCATATTCTTGGCTATTGTCTTCACAAATAGAAACTCATTCTGCAATGCAAAGTGACAAGGCTTCCATGCCCCACAACTGCTGGTGGTTCTGGGCTCCGGCTCCTTCCCGGCTACTCTATAGGAGGCTCTGGTCCAGAGCCCTGGGCTCCATTCTCCTCTCCGAAATGGGGGTGGGGAAAAAAAGTCGCCATTCCTAAAGTCTAGTGGAGTTTAACTGCATGGAAGGAAGCCTGAATTGGTGGATCTTTGTCATGTGCTGTGAACACCCACACCTGCACACACTAGGGCACACACGCTTACTAGGAACTGCCTGGCACAGCACATCAAACCTATTATCAACTCTTCTAGGAAGAATGAGGACAATAAGGGTCTTTCACATTTCCCTTCTGCTGTTCCATCTCTTGATGCCCTCATCCTGATGACGAGTCATTTCTTAATTAAAGCACCAGGGTGGCCAGCGCTGTGGCGCTGTGGGTTAAGCCTCGCCTGTGACACCGGCATCCTCTGTAGGTACCAGTTCGAGTTCTGGCTGCTCTGCTTCCAAGCCAGCTCCCTGCTAAAGCACCTGGGAAGGCAGCGGAGGATAACCAAGTGCTTGGGCCCCTGCACCCAGATGGGAGACTCAGATCAAATAAAGTTCCAGGCTCCTGGCTACAACCCGGCTCAGTCCTGGCTATTACAGTGATCTGGGGAGTAAGCACATGGAAGATTTCTCTCTCAGTCTCTATAACTCTGCCTTTCACAAAAATGAAATAAATCTTAAACACACACACACAGCAGGAAAAAACCACCTAGCCACCCTTGAGGATTGAGATGAAACACGAGGGGAATGGCAGCCCGATGACAAGTGACCAGATTACTACCAAGGGTGACTACTTAGGAAACACAGATTCCACATTCCAGGCCCAAGGAGGTTTCAGCACCACTTGCCCCTCAAAGTAACAAGCACCTGGCAGGCACACTCACTCTCTCTCTCTCTCTCTCTCTCTCTCTCTCTCTCTCTCTCTCACACACACACACACACACACACACACAAACCCTGCTGAGTCTCCCGGCCACTGGCTCTTCTCTTTGATCCTGATCATAACCCGCCTGATGGCTGTAACCACCCCCTTTGCAGATGTTGAGGCGGAGGCTCAGAGAGGTTTGTGATTCTCCCCCGGCCGCTTAGATACAGGGGCGCAGCTCTGGGAGAGGACACCAGGGCAATACCGCAACCCACGTCTCCTGTGCCTTTCCCAGCCTCCACCCCTGCACCTGTTCTCTAAAATCCTTTCTAGGAAACTTTCCATTTCTGGAATTGACCTGGGCCCTGCTGGGGGCTGAGCTGGGGATTTCGGGAGGAGGTGGGTCTCGTGCTGCTCAGAGCATGGGTCCCACGGCCGTGCTTCCTCCTTCCTGGCTGAGCCACCTGGTGCAGTTCTCAGCCCGGGTGCCTCAGTCTGTGAGATGGGCCACAAGGAGCGCATGAGTCACTGTGAGAACGCCGACGACAGGAGCCAGGACAGCAGGCACTCCGACGCTGGCACTTGCTGCTCGCGTTATATGGAAGACAGATCCAGGACAGAGCAAGCCTCTGAAAGCCTCTGCTCGGGACACGCGTGGAAGGCCTAACTCGTCAGCAAGCCCGGCCAGTGCCACAGCAGGCACTGCTCCAACAGCACCTGAGCCCTCTGCTGCCCCCCGCCTGGGCCTTGCTCGGCCCGTGTTGCCACAGACAGACCCAGGCAGACGGCAGCTCCTCTGCCCTTCATGGAAGCCTCGCTCTCACCTGCAAGCGACAGCCTGCCACCTTTCTCTGATTGCCACAGCCCTGCCCGTAAGCACTGTGGGGACAGGGGTGCTCCGGTGCCTGCTCAGCAACCAACCAAGGGTGGGGTCAGACCACTCAGACCCACATGTGGCCCCACAACCTCAACGCTCCCACCTCATGGCCCGGCAGGGGGCCACAGGCGAGCAGGTGGCATGCAGATGAGATGCACAGGGCACCTTTGTGGCCCAGCGTCCTGGTGCTCCTGCCTGCTCAGCTCCGAGCCTGGCTGTCCCTCACCTCGTTGCTCACTACCACGTGGATGCCCGTGGGGCCCTGCCGGTACACACGGTGGATGTGCTGGGGGGAGATGCTGTACAGATTGGCGATCTTCTCAATCAGCTCCAAGGTGGTCAGCTCCTCCAAGAAGATGGCGTGGTACACTGCAGGAGACACAGCATCCTTCTTTGTAAACGGCCAGCTAAGCACCATGGGCCTGCCACCACACCCCCACCGAGAACCACTGTGCAGGTGCTCACGCCCGTTGTAAGGGTGCAAGGGGCGCCTGGAAGCCACACAGCTGAGGGTGCCACAGCAGGCCCCTGCAGCCATCCACAGGCCGACAGAGGCTGGGCCCAGCCTCTTTCCTCCTGTTTCGGTCTCTCATGGGGCACTGGTAGAAAATGAGGAGACTCCTGGACCGTCAGACCCAGTGACATCCAGGTGGGGGTGAAGTGGAGGCTGGAGCGGTCAGTTTCCAATGTGTGGCCAGCTGCACTCCCACTTTGAGAGGGAGGAAGAAATCTGTGTCCCCGTCTCATTCTTTCCATCAGTGGAAGACTAGCTGGCTCACAGCAAGTTCTGCAGGCACCCAGCATGCACTCAATCATAAGGGGCCTCAAGTTCCTCAAAACCAAATGCATCTGGCCAAGTCCTTAAGAAGCCACTTGAGACATCTGCATCCCACACAGGAGTGCCTGGGTCTGAGTCCCAGCTCTGCTTCTCTTCCAGCTTCTTGCTAATGCACACCCTAGGAGACAGCAGAAGCATGGCTCAAGTCCTTGGATCCCTGTCACCCACGTGGGAGACCAGGATGGAGTTCCCAGCACCTGGCTTTAGCCTGGCCCAGCTGTTGTGGGCATCTAGGGCGTGAATCAATGGATGGAAGATCTTTTGCTGTCCCTGTCTCTCTCTCCTTTTCAAAGAAATCTAAGTAAATTTGGAGGTTAGCATTGTGGCATAGTGGATAAAGCTGCCACTTGCAACGCTAGCACCCTGTATGAGCACCAGTTCAAGTCCCAGCTGTCTATTCTAATCCAGCTCCCTGCTACTGCCCTGAGAAAAGCAAAGGAAGCTGACCCAGGTTCTTGGGCCCCTGCTACTCTCATGGAGACCTGGAAGAAGCTCCTGGCTCCTGGCTCCTGGCTTCAGCCTGGCTCCAGCGCTGGCTGTTGTGGCCATTTGGGGAGTGAATCAATGGATGGAAGACCTCTCTCTCTCTCTCTCTCATTCTTCCAAATAAACAAATAAATCTTTTTAAAAAATACAAAGAAATGTAAATGAATGTTTAAAGTAAATGGAATGTGATTCAATGTGAGGTCCCCAAACCTTCCTCAACTACGGAACATTTGGCTCAAGACAACATGACTGGAAGCAGGATACTGTGAAAGCACACACCTGGGGTGGCTGCTCTGCAGGGGGTGGCAGAGGTCATGGCTCCTGCCACACAGCAGGCTGCCTGTCCTAGGGGTCAGACAAGCTGACCCACTGTCGGTCCAACAGAGCAGAGCCTTGGTGCCAACACCAAGCCTCTCGTCCAAGACTCCTTTCTTCATCAGAACCCTAACAGTGCTTCTCTTTGTCACCTTTTCTGAGCCAGTTCCTCTTCCTGATTTTCCTCATAAAACAAACAACAAAGCTAACAAGACTCTAGGCTGCCGCTGTTGGCCTTTGCCCCAGTTGTCCGGGGCTGCCAGCAGCGTGGAGTTGAATAGGAAGCCGGCCAGCAGCGTGTACCTCACCACTCCTGCCCCGGGAGCTGTGTGGGGGTAGACAAGCTACATCGTGGGCGGTCCTGGGTTCCCATTCTGCCTCTGTGCTCACCAGAAGTGAGACCTGGGACAAGTGACCCCTCTCGAGCCCCAGGGTGTGCTGGGAACCCCATGCTGTGCTGCAGCCGCTGCCCCAAGCAGGGCACACAGTTGGCTGCCACTTCCTTGCCTGTAGGAATCTGGCAAACATGGACTCCCCCTCCTAGGTTGACCACCTAAAGCACGGATGAGGGCCTGGACACTCACACCTGTGGGAAATGCAGAGGCCAGGCTGGGGCTCGGGAAGCCAGGCTACAGGGCCCACAACTCACCGCACAGGCTGCTGTCTCCGCTGGCCTCTCGCTTCTGCTGTAGGGGCACCCGGCTCTGCTCTAGCTCCTGGCAGACATAAATGGTCATCTTCGGCCTCACGTTCCTGGCAGGACAGAGGAGATAAATAGCATGTACAGCAGACCAGGCGCTATCATGCTGATCACAGTGCATGCCCCTCCCAGGCCCTGCAAACTGCCCCAGAACACGAATCTCAAGAGGCCTCCCCAGGGTGATGGTAAAAGCACTTTCTCCACCTTCCCAGAACTTGGCCTGCACGACTCACGCCAGCCTCATGCAGCCTGGCCACACCCACCTCCCAGACAACTGACCCTTCCAGAGCTCTACAGATGTTCCACCTGTTGCACAGCCCACAGCGGGCAGATCTGGGAATTCAAACCCAGGCCACCCTCACTCTAAAACCGTGCTGCCTGTAGGTGACCATTAAAATTTAAGTCCACTGCAATTAAAGGAAAATGTGTCCATCCCAGTAATTAAAGTGCTTTGGGACCACAGGTGGCCAGAGGCTCCTGGACTTGACCACGTGGCCGTTGAAAACAAACAAACGAAAAAACACCACGGAGGCTCTGCTCCTGAGAACGGCCATGGACACCAAATGCCCCGTTGCAGCCCAGGAGGTGGTGGCCCAGAGCCCAGGACCACAAAGCACAGGAAAACCTGGGCAAGCAGCTCAGAGACTAAGATCTAGAGGCACCCTCATGCCTCAGTCCCAGAAGAGGCAGGGGCCTCCAGGTGGGGCTGCCACAGCTTGCTCGGATTCTCACTCCCTGGCTCCAGCCCTGGCCCTTCTCACTCACTGCACCTGCCCTGCCTCCTGGCACCCACCACCCAGCCCACTCACGGAGTCTGGGCTTGCTGGCACCCAGGCCGGGAAGCAGCCTCCAGCCGGCTGCCGGAAGTCAGTACCCACCTGCCTTTGATGGCGTTGAAGAGCCGGATCCCATCTGCAGGACCACAGATCTGGACGAGATCATCTCGGGACATCTTCAGCAAGTCGGCCCCTAGATGAGAAAACACGGCTGCCCTTCAGGTGGAGCACAGGAAAAGGACTCCAAAGCCATGCACCTGTAGACCCTACATGGGAGGTGGGGAAAGGGAAAAAGCCAGCCCCACTCTCAGGGGACACCAGCCATTCCAGGGAAAGGGCAATGGTAAGGAACCAAACATTACCAGAAGATGTAGCCCACATGGTACCAGAAACCTGGTGCTCACAGTGTGGGTGGACAGAAGCCAGGAGGGCCTCATACCTGTGCCTGCCCTCTTCCCCGCACTTTGTTGCTGTATAATCTATGCATATGTGTATGGACTTTATCAGCACGTTGCCATGGCGACACCCACAACTCTTGGTGCACAGAGGCATGTACCTCACTGGAGGCTAACACCTAGGCCTCGTTTCATAAAAATACCACAATTCACATGTCCGCTGTTGGTGGGCATCAGCAATGCTGTCATGAGCAGCCTCTAGGAGCTTTCTCGCGTATGTCCAGAGGGCTGGGTCCAGGTTAGACAACTGGGTCACAGGGCACGTAAGCATTTGGCTCTAGACACTGGCCAATGGCTGCCCAAAGTGAGGCAAACCTCTGTACAATCCACCAGCAGTGTGCAATGACTGCCCCACATTTACAGCAGCATGGGTAGAGGGCTGGCTGTCCCTTAGGGCCAGAGGAGACTGGGAAGTTAAGAAGGAAGTGAGGCATGGGAAAGCTGGATTGAGCTCCTGGCTACCAGGTTTGGGCTGCCCTAGCTCTGGCTACTGTGTGTATTTGAGGTGTCAAACAATAGATTATAGCTAGCTATCTGTGTCTCTGGCTCCCTACTGAAGGGCTGCCCTAGCTCTGGCTACTGTGTGTATTTGAGGTGTCAAACAGCAGATTATAGCTATCTATCTGTGTCTCTGACTCCCTACTGAAAGAAAGGAGAGACAGAGACAGAGAGGGAGAGAAAAGATTTTTAAAGATTTATTTTATTCATTTGAAAGGCAGAGTTACAGAGAGGCAGAGGCAGAGAGAGAGAGATCTTCCATCCACTGGTTCATTCCCTAGATGGCCACAGTGGCCAGAGCTGGTCCAATCCAAAGCCAGGAGCTTCCTCCAGGTCTTCCCATGTGGGTACAGGGTTCCAAGGACTTGGGCCATCTTCTACTGCTTTCGCAGGCCATAGCAGACAGGTGGATCAGAAGTGAAGCATCCAGAACATACGGGATGCTGGCAGTGCCAGCGGCAGCTTTACCAACTATACCACAGCACCGGCCCCAAAAGTTAGTCTTTGATTACATTAAGTTGTTACAAACTATCAAGAAATGTTCAGTCTAAAAAGTGATAGAGTACATTTTGAAAACTTGTTTATGATATGCCTCGTGATGCAGAAAATTGAAGTTATATTGTGCATTTTAGGTTTTATTTTTGTATTAAAATTCTTTCTATATGATAAAAAATAAAAGGAAGTAATGGGCAGGCATTTGATGTTGCAGTCAAAAGACTGCCTGGGAGGTCCAAGTTGGAGCATCTGGGTTCAAGTCCTAACTCTGCTTTCCATTCCAGCTTCCTCTTCCTGTTAATGTGCACCTTGGGAGGCGAAAGCAGATGGTTTAAGCACTTGTGTCCCTGTCACTTGCAGAGGAGAGCTGGATTGAGTTCTGCATAGCCCCGGCTGTTGCAGGAATTTGCAAAGTGAAATAGTGGGTGTCTCTGTCTCAATGTCTCTGCCTTTCAAGTAAATACAAATTAAATAAATAATTACTTCTTTTTTGAAAAGATTTAGTTATTTATTTGCAAGGCAGAGTTAGAGAGAGAGAGAGATTTTCCATCCATTGGTTCACTTCCCAAATGGCAGCAACAGACAGAGCTGAGCTGATATGAAGCTAGAATCCAGGAGCTTCTTTTGGGTCTCCCCCATGGATGCAGGGGCCCAAGCACTTGGGCCATCCTCCAGTGCCTTCCCAGGTGCATCAGTAGGGAACTGGATTGGAAGTGGAGCAGCCGGGACTCAAACTGGTACACATATGGGATACCCGCACCACAGGCGAAGGCTTAGCCCGCTATGCTACAGAACCAGCCCCAATAAATCATTCTTTTAAGAAAAGAGGGATGCGAGCCTGGCTGCACCTTTCTCACAAGGGCTCTGCAAGAGCTAAGTGTTATGGGAAAGGTCCTCCCCTTTTCTCCCGCCACTCAGACATAGCTTTGGATATAACCCTGCAGGCTCCTATTCCACCAGGTATAAAAGCCAGCGTTCTCTCACCCATTCTTCCAGGCCCGGCCTGCATGTGCCTGCAGCACCTCCCCGACCTCATCTCTGCCTCACCAGGGTCCCCTGCTCTGTGACCACACCAGGCAGGTGCCCACCTTGTGACCTTTGTCCGTCTCCTCTGCTCAAACAGCTCAGCAGGCTCCCTCCCTCCCTCCTTCCAGTCTTTGCTCAAAGCCCCCACCCTGCACAGCCATGGTCAGGGGCACCTCGGCCCCCATCATACTACCCTGGAGTGGCAGTGCCCATGCCTGCTCTGAGTCAGAACTGCAAGAGGGCGGGGTCGCGTCCGATCCTCCTTGCACCCCCACCCCTAACACCAAGGCTGCCGGGATTGCTGAGCTGAAAGATGCACAGACGCTGCCGCAGGTGTCCCTGGAAGCAGCATTTCCCATCACTCTGACTCGCTGCGCCTGGCTCAGGGCTTCCACCAGCCAGGCCTGCAAAGAAGGGTCACCACATTCCGTCTCAGTTGCGGCCTCGGCGCCATCTCCCAGGTCCCGGCTCCGAGACCCACGAGCAGTGTTTTGTTAGGAAGGGTGCACTGACACCACGTTGCCTGGCTAAAGGGCCCTTCCCAGGCAGGCCAGGGCCCATCCTCCCCACAGGTGGGGAGACCTTGATGGGGTCACCCAGACAGTCCCCATGAAGCTGCACTAGAAACTTCCTGGGCAACATCTTGTGTGGCCAGCCTGTGGCCCAGGGTCAGACACGGGAGCAAATGGCTTCATTCTCCTATGTGCTCCCTACCGCGGTGCCCAAGGGGCCCAGGGGCTGGGGCAGGTCCTGGAAGATACATGACCCCACTAGGAGTGTCCCTGCTGCCCACTCACCCGAGAAGCTGGCAAAGAGCCGGCAGAACTGTGAGAACCTGTTGCGGTGCAGCCACTGCTGGGCATCCTGGATGGAGGCTGACGGGAGCAGGTGCTGCAGGAGAGAGGAGAGGCCTTGAGATAGCCACCTGGAGCTCCCAGGGCCGCCAGCCACAGAGCCCGCACACGCACACTTACGTCACTGCCCAGGGGCAGGGTCTCCACCGGGTGGGTTGGGGAGCTGTTGCTGCAAAGGAAAGGAACAGACAATAAGGACAGACGGAGTTTCTAGAGGCAAGACAGGGGTGTGCCAGCTCCCACCTGGCTCCTGTCTATGTCAGCTTCAGGGATCATTATAAGTGAAACAGGTCAGCAAGAATTTCCCACGTAAGAGAAATGCAAACTGGAACCAATGGGTAATCCCTCAAAATCATTAGGTGACTGCTGGGTGCGGGTAGGAAGCTCACACTGCTCCAGCCAGCAAGGACCCCCAAGCCCACGCAGTCAGCAGCAGCAGCCACGTCCCTTGTTAGATCCTTGTGGTTCTGATCAATCCAAGCCGTGCCTAAAGGACGGGCAAGCTGACAACGGGGCCCGGGCTACACTGCAGTTTCTGGGACCCAGAACCGCACACCTTTCTAGATGCCCACAGGGAACATACAGAATGCCCAGACTTGAAGTTGAGAGAAAGGGACACGGTGAGATGAGTTCCAGAGAGAGAGCCATGATGACTGAGCAGCAGTGTGAATGCAGTTGGTGCTACTGAATGGGACGCTGGAAACTTGCAAAGGCACTGGCACTGGGGTGCAGCTGCTTAAGCTGCCACTTGCATCACTCACATCCCACATCAGAGCATGGCCGCTCCAGTTCTGATCCAGCTCCCTGCTAATGCGCCTGGGAAAGCAGTAGAAGATGGCCCAAGCGCTTGGGACCCCGCACTTTCATGGGAGACCCAATGGAGCTCCTGGCTCCTGGCCCAGCCCTGGTTGACGCAGCCATTGGGGAGTGAACCAGCAGATGGAAGATCTCTCTCTCTCTCTCTGTCACTCTGATTTTCAAATAAATAAATCCATCTTTTAAAAAAAAAATGGTTAAGTGTGAAGTTATGTATATTTTAACACAATTGGGGGGAAAAAAGACCTTTGCAGGGATGAGAGGGTCCTCGGTCATCAGCAACTCTACGGTGGGCCAGGCTCAGCACACACATTCCTCCTGCCCTGCATGGAATGTGGACTACCCTCTTCTCAGTGGGGCAAGCTACCCCCCCAAAAAGGTGTCACCTGAAGACCAGGTCTGCCAGATTCTGAACATCTACCTGCCCTCTCAAGGGGACTCCTCAGCATGGCAAAGACAAGTTCACAAACCATCAGAAAAGCTGTGTCTGCTGGGCCAGAGCTGCACTCCCACCTGTTAAAGCTGCCTGGCCTGAGCTCGCCCTGCCTCCACCCAGCCCACGCTCACTGAGCCATCATGGTGCGACCACGGGCCAGGCCACCAGCCTGCACAGAGAGCTGCCCCAGCTCCTGCTTGGAGTTGCACGCCCCAAGCTCAGGGTGGGGACACTGAGAGGACTCACGTTCCTCCAGGAATATGGACGGGAGCTGACGAGACACAGGAAGGGCCCTACCAGCCACCCTGGCCATCCAAACAGCAGCTCCTCTGAGTCCACACGGTCTTGCAGGGCCATTCTTCCCCCACAGAACACTGCAGGCCACTTCAGGAGGCTGTCCCAATTCTCCCAGGGGAGCTCTGGGCTGCTGCCCCACAAGACAACATTGATTGATGTGATTCTGAGCACAGGTGCACAAGCATTAAACACAGCCGAGACTGTGACCCTGAAACCCGATCAGAGCCCCAGTGACAGAAAGGAGGACGGCTTGGGGAGAAAGACCAGGACCCTCAACTCCAGGGACGGGAGGGAGCATAGGTGGACGTACCCTTCACCAAGGCTGAAGCTGTTTGGAGAGCCATTGTAGCTTGGGGAGGGGGCGCTGTTCACCTGGTAGGCTGTGTCGGGCCACGGAGAGCACTGTGGGAGAGATGAAGCAGCTGGGTCAAGAGCAGTGGTCCTCAGGACGGCCAGTGGCCCTGGCAGGGAGAGCTGAACCGTGCTCCTCCCAAGTATCCAGCAACACCAATGTGCAAGACTCTGACCACTCAACACACAGCCTGCATTTACACAGAGCCCACAAGTGGCCACGGAGAGCACGAGAGCCACATTAGGGAGCCACACGCAGCTGCAAAGAGGACTGACGCTCTTTGAGTCACCCTCGGGGCCAGCAGAGCGTGAAAGGTGTCTCTGAGCATCCTTGACACCCAACCCACAAGGAAAACAGCATCAAAAGGGAATTCCTGGGTCTCAAGAAAAGAGCGAGCTCAAACAAAATGGGCCAGTTGCTCAGAGCAGCCTGCGTGGGACAAATGCGGCGAAATGCGTGGCCTGGGAGAACCGGGCCGTAGGAAGCTGCCAAAGGAAAAACAGCCAGAAAACTTCAATGTTAACAGCAACCTGCAGACTGGGCTTCCAGGCAGGAGGCACACTTGCCCGATCACCAGATCACCAGATCACCACAGCGGTCCTTGCCCTCGGGGAACTTCTAGCTCAGAAGCCAAAAACTAACCTGGGAGTCTCCCAAAGCAAGCAAAGGCAGACAGATTTTGCCTGCTGAAGGAAGGTGGCCAGACAGGGCCTTCATCTCTTCACTGCCTTGCAATGACGCCCTTGGGAGAGGACCCACTGGAAGCATTCCTGCAGGTTTACTGTCACTCACAGGACCCCATTGTGAGCATGGGCTGGAATTTGCTGGCCCTAAGCCCTGCAGCCCAAGGACGACAGTGGAGGAGCTGCTACAAGGAGGGGCCCCACTGGGCTATGCAACACACACACAAACACACACACACACACACACACACACACCCTGTACTGTGTGGAGGGAGCTCACTGGTACTTCTCCTCCCTTACAGAAGTCAGGGGAGGAGCAGAGAGATCAAGGGAGAGAGTGGTGTCGCCAGGGTGGGCAGGGCAGTGTGTGACACACCCCAGGTTGCACTGCCAGCACAGGCATGGAACAGGCATGGAAAGAAACTGGTCTGAGTTCCAGTCCTTACAATGTGGTCCTTGCATCTGCTGCTCTCCAGCCAGACAAGGGCAGGGCGGGGCTGTTCCCCACTGAGGTCCTCAGCCACCACTACCCTCAGCCAGGTGAAGTTCCAGGACACACATGTGTGAGTCACAACGTGAGCTCTTCTACCATTTTACTGCAAAGACTCCCCTGCGTGTGGCTATTTACACATGTGCGCACACACACACACAGGTGCACACGCATCCACGTTGCTGCTCTTAGCCAGGACAGGATCAGGCCACCCTTCTCTTTCATGCTCACCTAACACAGCCTTAACCCCACCATGGCCAACACCAATTGGATGTTCCAATTGCAAAACAAAGTGAGTAAGAGTTGTTCCAAAAAAATCTGAACCCAGAGCAGGATCTGGCCTAGCAATGAAGGTGCTAGAGTGGGATGCCCTCATCCCATATCACAGAGTCTGAGTTAGAGGCCCAGCTCCACTTCCAGCTCTGGCCTCCTGCCCATGCACAGCCTGGGAGGCAGCAGGTGATGGTCCAGGTGACAGGGTTCCTGCCACTCATGTGGGAGACCTGGATTGAGTTCCTGGCTCCCAGCCTGGCTCCCAGGCTGTCTGCATGCATGTCTCTGTCTCTGTCTCTGTTTCTCCTTCTCTCGCTCTTAGCCTGTCAAATAAGATAAATAAGTAAAAAAAAAAAAAGAGCCCAGTAGAAGAGGAGATGCTGGCTCTGACCCACAACAGGAAGCAGAGGAGCCTATGACATTCAGGACCTCAGAAGCACCCTGGGCGTTATGCTGCTGCAGCAGGCCAGCACAGGTGTCAGGGTGAAAAAGAAATGCATTCTGACATCTATTGCATCAAAAAAACAGCCGGCGGGGCCGGCGCTGTGGCACAGTGGGTTAAAGCCCTGGCCTGCAGCACCAGCATCCCGTATGGGGGCCGGTTCAAATACTGGCTGCTCCACTTGCAATCCAGCTCCAAACAAATGAGCCTGGGAAAGCAGCAGTTGATGGTCCAAGTCCTTGGACCCCTGCACCCACATGGGGAACCCAGAGGAAGCTCCTGGCTCCTGGCTTCGGATGGACTCAGCTCCAGCCTTTACAGCCAATTGAGGAGTGAACCAGCAGATAAAAGACCACTCTCTGTCTCTCTCTCTCTCTCTCTCTTTTTCTCTAACTCTTTCAAATAAATAAAAATAAATCTTAAAAAAAAAAAAAAAAAGGAAACGCCGGTGCCTACAGCCTCTGACTCACCCATTACACACCAGGCAGCCCCCCGACGTGAGGCCCTCCTCATGCAGAGCTGCTCCTGGCACCACAGCCTGAAACAGCAGAGCCTGCCAACAACCCCATGCCCACTAAGGGGCCATCTGACATGAACGCTGCACAGCCGAGGGAGGCGCTGGAAAGCGTTTTATGCAGGGGTGGTGAACAGGCTCCAGACGAGCCAGCAGCTGACAAGAGCAGGTGCAGAGCCGTGTGTCTGTGCAGACTGTTACACAGAAAGGCAGGCATGCAGCAAACACACGCATGAACTGGCTGCACGTGCAGACAGCATCAGACCAGACACAGGTTGCCCAGAGCCGGACAACTTGGGGGAGACTTTTGGTCACAGGCTGCCTGTACCTGTTCAATTTTGAACCTGTGACCATACAAACACAAATGGCCTAACTTTGGAAAGTGCAAATGCATTCACTCCAATGCAGCAGAGAGCTCTGAGACACCTCCCCTGGCACCAGGCCATAGCAGGCAACACACCATGACTGAATGGAGTTTCCCAGGGATCTAAGCTGAAAGACTTGCTCCCGGCACAAGGCTCCGGGGCTCTGCCTGGCGCGTCGGCGCACCTCTGTGAGGATAGTGGTCTCGTAGGATGGCTGGTACTTCTCCTTCTCTTGGGCGGTCCTCTTCTCCATCTTCTCCCGGTCAGTCTTCTGCTTGCGGTCAGCTCCCTTTGGCTGCAAGCACAGAAAGACCCATTAGCACACAGAAGGCCAAGGTGGCTCCTGGAAGATGACCCTGGGCCTGCATAATCCCACCCCATGCCAAGGCCCAGAAGGGCAGGCAGCCTCTCACCTCCCACCCTCAACACAGGGCCTGCCCTCCTGCCTGACTCTCTGCCCCACCCTGGGAGACTCAGTCTGCTATGGACCCCTCACCACCACCACCAGGCTGCTCCCTGGGAGAAGCTTGGAAAAGACCAGGGCCAACGCCAGAACCACAGAGAATCACAAGGAATTGCTGGGGTGCCCGACGGGGAGTGATGGGGTTGGGGTGGAGGGGTGGGGGTCCACAGCAGCTGCTGGGAGGAGTCTGGTTTACCCCCACAGGCTGTGATGTGTTGGCCATATTCTCAAGCCTTGTCTTCCCAACTTCAAGGACTCTAACCAGCCAGGATTCCCAGCCCTGGGGTGGCAGGGCTGACGGACAGGTGGGCTCTGCCCAGCCTGGCTTCAGCACACCTCAATCATCCCTTCTGTGAGTGGAGGCAGGTGGCCTCTCAGGGAGCCAGTTCTGTCTCTGCAGGAGATGCTAAGGCCTTTCCCCAGGGCACTGCTGGGGTGAGGCTGTGAAGCCTGGCAGGCCCTGGAGATGCAGAAAACAGAGCCGGGGGAGCAGCCCCATGGGGCCATGTGGGCCCCATGGGATCACAGGAGAGGAAGGAAGAGCCGGTCAGGGTGATGCCTACTTTTGCAGGCTGTGAGGATGGAGTGAAGGGACCCCAAGCCAAGGAATGCAGTGGCCTGAAGGAGCCAGAAAACAGGGAACCAGACTCTTCCCTCGAGCTCTGGGAAGAGATACAGATCTGCTGGGATCTTTAGCGCAGTGACTGGGAGGAAAGGAATGCACAGGGTTTTACGCCACTGACTGCAGATTTGCTGCAGCAGCAACAGACAAAAATACGGTGGAGGGGTCGACTTCCTGGAAGACTTCATGATCCCTAAGCGGGTTTCTGAAGGATCAGTGACAGGTACTAGCTTGTGCCACCCCTTCTCCCTCCCACTGAGCCAGCATCACAGAGCAGGGTGGTGCCATCCAGAGAGATCCTGGCCAGGGCTGCAACTCCTTTGCCCACAGGCCTCATGCTATCACCGTGGATGAAATGGGAGACGGGAGATGTGGTCTCCTGAGCAGACTCTGCCACTCCCACACCTGCTCTGACGGGCACATTCATCAAAATCCCTGGCAAGTGCTCCCTGGGCACCAAGCTCTGCAGAAGATGCTACAGACAGGGCAGTGGCACAGTCCTGTCTTCAGAGGCCACCTGTCTATGGGATACCACAGTGATCAGCCACTCAGCCACCGGGCTTACAGCCCTACCTGTGGGCATTCACTGGTCTCCCACCTGCGCTAAGGAAGATCAACACTGACCCAGCTTTCTCATTAATGAGCCCCCTGTCTGAAGCGACTCCAGCCCCAGCAGATGGGACTTTGCTGGCAGGTTCCAAGTTCATCTGAATGTGTATGAAGGGGATGCCAGGACAGGCACCAGAGCTGCTGATCAGTTCAATTCCTGCCGAGGGGTGGGGGTGGGGGCAGGGGAGGCCCTGCTCCCTGTCCTCAGACAGCTGCTGGAGCCGCCCAAGGTGATGGGGCTGGTCAGGCCTGCAGGGGACGAGACTGTGGGCCTGCTCAGGCTGCCCTCCTGGCTGGGGAATGACAGTAGCTCTGCTCCAGCCCTGCATTTCCCTGAAACCATGCGGGGAAGCAAGTCAGAGAGCTGACCACCATCTTCAGGAAACAATCAGTCCAGACTGATGAGATGAAAGCCAGTGACAGACGACTGCAGGGAGCAAGGAGAGAAAGGAATGTGCAGGTACCCCCCCACCCCAAAAAAAAAAAAAGTGCCTTTCTCCAAGAGGCAGCCACTGCAGAGGGAAACAGGAGAGGCTCCTGGCCTCCAGGCAAGCTTAAGGGGATGCAGGTGTGAGCACCTGTGAGCAACCACCAAGTGCACAGAAAAATAAAACATCTGAAGATGACTAGTCCAACCATCCTGGCCTGACATTCAGGGGTCTCGACACTTCTGACAAAAGCTGAGCAGATGCCACAGGTGAGACAGGGACAAGGGCAGCCCCTTGTGCCCCCATGTGCAGCCCTGGCTGGGACTCTGGGAGGAAGTGCCAGGGTCAGCCTCCTGGGACCACCTCAGGCCCTCCTACCTTGAACACCTTGATCTGGCAGCTGGCTGAGTGCAAGTGCTCCGTGTACTCCCCATTCTCATTCTGCTTAAACGTGTCAATCTGCACCCGGAAAGGCACACCCTTCTCACCCCCGTGCTTCCGCGGGGTGAACTCCGTGCTGATACAGTGCACCTGGGAGGTGGAGGTAGAGTAGGCAGCAAAGTGAGCGGTACAAGGTGGGGCGGGGCTCCCAAGGGCTTCGCTCCACATGGGGGACTCCTTTTCTGCCTCAGCATTGCAGATCTGCCCCTGACTCCCTTGATTTCCCAACACCTCACGCACTCCATCAGCACAACGGCTCCCAGTTCCCCTGCACACAAAAGACACACCTCCCACCTCCGTTCCTGTACATGGAGGCCAGGCTGACTGGCTCCCCACAGTGCCTCCTCACCCAGAAACCTCTCCCCTGGAAAATCCTACAGACTTCAGAGCAGGGACCACAACACACCCCAGGCACTCTCTAGCATCCTGGTGTCAAGCACAACCAGAAGGTTAGAATGGTTTCTATATTTCTGGGAAGTCTGGGTTGACCATCCCTTATCCAAAATGCTGGGGACCAGAGTATCTTAGATTTCGGACTTTGGGGAGTATCTGTATAAGCTTCACCAGTTGAACATCCTTAAAATCCAAAAATCCTAAAGCCCAAATGCTGCAAAATCCAAAACTTTCTGAGCTTCATCTTGCTCGAAGTTCCAGCTTTTGAAGAAGTATTCAGATAAGAGATTTTTAGATTCGGGATGTACAACCTGTACTTGCTACACAGAAGTCCTTTAATACACACGAAGACTTCTAAAAGTTAATAGAGAGGCTGGCGCTGTGGCACAGAGGTTGAAGCCACCACCCGGAATGCTGGCATCCCCTATGGGCAGCAGTTCAAGTCTCTGCTGCTCCATTTCTGATCCAGCTCCCTGCTAATGGCATGGGAAAAGCAGCAGAAGATGTCCCACGTCTTTGGGCCCCTGCACCCACGTGCAAGACCCGGAAGAAGCTCCTGGTTGTTGGCTTAAGGCTGGCCCAGACCTGGCTGCTGGAAGCCATCTGGGGAGTGAACCAACAGATGGGAGATCTCTCTCTTTCTCTCTCTCTCCCTCTCTCCCTCTCTTTCTGTAACCCTTTCAAATAAATAAGTAATTTTTTAAATGCTAATAGAAAATGTATATTATACTTTAATTCCCAGTTTCCCACAAACTTCTAAGGCCTCTGTGTATTTATTGTTATATACAATAATACTATTATAATATATTTTGTTATTGTAAGAATACAATAACATTGTAATAATTTTCAAATAAAATTAATGTTAAAAAAATTTCACTGAATAGTGACTGTGGATTGGGCACTATGCTAATGGCTTTCCACTGGTAGTCAGACTTGTAAGGTGGGGAAGCTAAGGGTTCCAGAGGAGAAAGAAACTGCTCAAGGACCCACAGCAAGTGAGAGACTGGACAAGGCCCTGGCCTTCACAAGGCCAAGGCCATGCCCTTGCCCACTTCCACCTTACTGAGGTATGTAAGAGCAGGTGCTGGATAATGAAATAAGTCATTCAATAATAGAAATTATAATAGAAAACATGTTTGCTTTTAACTTATTGATGCTGGGAAACACTGGTTTTTGTTGTTGTTGTTGTTGTTTTCATCTTAAATGACACTCCAAACCTTTTCCCCAGCCCTCATAACCCACGAGCTCTGTGACCCGGAGCGAGGCTACTGGATTCTCCCTCTCCAGAACAGGGGCCCAGCCAGGCCCTCCAGTGGGTTGCTTTGGAGAAACCACAAGCTGGACCCAAAGGGAGGACAGAGCCCGACCCCTCCTGCTCACCTGAATGAACGCTGAAGCCCTCTTTGCAGGGTCCCACAAAAACTCGACTGCGTTCAGCTGGGTCGGGCTGGCCCTGGGGTCCAAGATACCAACAGACAGTGGGATATCTGCGCACACACACACACAAAAGCGCAAGTGTCAGCCTCTGCCCGCACGCAGGGAAGGCCCCTCGCTGCAGGGCCACGAGCCGTCACCACGACTTGAAACGCCACGAGCGGGAACACGAAGTTCTGCACAACCCATGTGTCAGAAAGCCTGACAGCAGTCGCCCTGAGCCTCCTGGTCTTCCATCCCACTTTGGCTGCAGGAAGTCTGCCTGCAGGTGGTCCCTGGGGCTGTGGGTACACACTCTACTCCCTGACTCCCCAAAGGCTGGGGGCAGCCCCAGGGCCCCCAGTGGTACCTGTCATGGTGGCCCCCCTTCCCTTCTTCAAGTGTCAAAATCTTTTCCAATTTGAGCCTTATCAGAGCTCCCTGAAGGCAGGCCTTTGCATTGTACAAGACTTTCACTTCTGAAAAAGGCCACATCCCTCATCAGGGCCAGGAGGAGCCTGGGGTCACCTCCGTGAGTGCCCAAGGCGTCCGCAGGGCAGGAGGGCTCTGAAAGCAGAGGGGCCCAGCCCAGGGAGACTCACCAATGTCCAGGATGCGGTCTCCCGGCCGGCTCCAGCGCCAGCCCTCCAGCTGCTGGTGCTCTGTGTACTGCAGCCGGCGGTCGTGGAAAACTACGCGGATGATGCTCTGGGGAGGGAGGCCGGTGGGGCACAGTTGGGTGGGGGGCCGAGGGCAGCTCAGGAGGAAGCTGCCACCCCTCCTGTGCCTAGGCAAACCTCCCCCCACCTGCAGGGCCCCTCCTCAGGATCCCGAGAATACACGCGAGAGGAAGCAGTCACAGCCACCGCCGGGTCTTCCAGGGCTGCTAAGGGCCCTACCTGCACTTCTGACCTCCATATAAACCCTTTGCGCCAGTCGGGGGAGTGACCCAAGGCACAGAGAAGTTCAGGGAGGAGAGTCTGCCTGGGAGCCCACCAGCCTGAGCCACGGGCTGTGTGCGTGGCCGGGCTGCCCAAGCCCCGCCCCGCAATGTGCTCCAGTGCCGGGGACAGAGCCGCAGCTCACAGACCAGGCTGAGCTGATGGATGTTGCCTCTCCCTCCACCTCCCCCACCCCTCAGCCACTCCTGAGGCCCCCAGCCCTCCTGCCCCAACCCCGGACACTCAGCCCCAACCAGCATCACCCACCCACACACACTGAGGGTGCTGGAGCAGCCCTTGAGGCTCACCTTGACGTATTTTGTGTTCAGATCTTGAAAATCTCCCAGCTTCCGATTCTCCAGCAGTCGAATTTCATAAGATTGACCTGGAGGAGGTGAAGGATACACTCTCTATTTGACTATTTGCAGACGAGGGACTCCATCAGATTAGCAGCCTTCTCAACAGCCCCTGTGCCTGCCCAGGCCCCAAGACCCAGAGTAGCAAAGCAGAGAAGAAAGTTCACGTCTGTGGACTGGTCCCCAAGTCCATCCAGCCCCAGCTCAGGCCATGTACCATGCAATCTTCCCTGGGACAGAATCCCCAAAAAAAAAAAAAAAAAAAGCCCTAAAGTGACAGAACACGGCTTCACATATCTTTACCGCTGCCCCTCACCCCTGCTTGGAGTAAAACACTGACCATACCCTTCCTGAGAGCAAGTTGGAAGGAATGGAGAGGCTGTTAAACATTGTCTCTAATGGCAGAACGAAAGCATTTCACCAGTTAAAAGAATGTCATGTATTTGAAAGGGTGTGGGGATTTTTGTTCAGTGAGATATAACCAGTGCAAACTGGTTAAAGAATATAAATGGAGCTGGCGCCGCGGCTCAACAGGCTAATCCTCCACCTTGCGGCACCGGCACACCAGGTTCTAGTCCCGGTTGGGGCGCCGGATTCTGTCCTGGTTGCCCCTCTTCCAGGCCAGCTCTCTGCTGTGGCCCAGGAGTGCAGTGGAGGATGGCCCAAGTGCTTGGGCCCTGCACCCCATGGGAGACCAGGAGAAGCACCTGGCTCCTGCCTTCGGATCAGCGCGGTGCGCCAGCCGCAGCGGCCATTGGAGGGTGAACCAACGGCAAAAGGTAGACCTTTCTCTCTGTCTCTCTCTCTCACTGTCCACTCTGCCTGTCAAAAACAAAAACAAAACAAAAAAAGAATATAAATGGAAAAAAAACCCACGCATAATATGAAAAATAAAAACCTTTAAAAGTATCTATGAATAACCCGAAGAAAACTGTAAAATACAGCTTGAATAAACAGGAGGCACCATGTCATAAGACACGAAGAGTGTGCAAATAAATACAAATTATGTCAACTTTTCCCAAGTCAATGTTAAACTACAATTCTAAAACACCCTGGCATATGTTGCAAATCGGTAAAGGATATTTTACAATAAGAGAATTACTGAACATTAGGTATCTGTGAGTAAGATTAGCTTTTCAAATATTTTACAGATTCACAGAAAGTTTCAAAAATCGTACAGAAAGTTCCTGAGCCCCCTTTTTCTGGCATTCCCCCACTGGTGACATCAGAACCAGGAGACCAACCCTGGCACAAAGCAGCTCATAAAACCACAGACCTTGCTCAGATTTCCCTGGGGGTTGTTGGGCTGTTCTCTCTCCCCCTACACAGCCCAAGTGTATGTGTATGTGTTTGTGTGTGTGTGTGTGTGTGTGTAGGCTGGTGAAATTTTATCACATGTGGAGATTAACTAATTTTTCAGTGTGCACATCCTCACCTCACAGCAAATTTCAAAGCAAGTTACTGGACCAGCACTGTGGCATAGCAGGTGAAGCCTCTGCCTGTGGCGCCAGCATCCCATATGGATGCCAGTTCAAGTTCCAGCTGCTCCACTTCTGATCCAACTCCCTGCCAATGCACCTGGGAAAGCAGCTGAAAATGGCCAGGTGCTTGTGCCCTTGCCACCTACTTGGGAAACAGAATGGAGTTCCTGGCCCCGGGCTTCTGCCTGGCCCAGCCCCAGGCATTGCAGCCATTTAGGGAGTGAATCTCTTCTCTGTTTCTCCCTGTCTCTCTGTCACTCTGATTTTTCAAAAGCAAATTTTTTAAAAAATCTTTATATATATGTATTTTTAAAGCCAATTTCTTAGTGGTGAGGGAGGGAGAAGAGGGAGATGCTGATTAGGAAGAATAAGTTCAAGAGACTATTTTACAACATGAGCACTGGTTAATAATAACGCACTGTTGTTATTAACAGTGTGTTCTTGAAATTACACTAAGGGAATAGATGTTTTCTCATCACCAAAAACAGTATGCATGTGAGGTACAGCGTATGCTAACCAGCTCAATTTAGCCATTCCACAATGTACCTAGAGTCCACAATATCAACAGAATATATACAGTTTTTATTGGTCAGTTTTTCAAAGAGCCAATCCTTCAAAGTTTTACTTGAACTTCAAGGACTTATCACTCAATCAGGAAGAATCTTCTGAACCTCAAATCAATTGGGGGAGGTGGTAGGTGTTCAACTACAAAAACTTTATGTACATGCATAAACATAAAATGCCATACAAACAACAAACTAGGAACAGCTAGCTCATGCTAGCCATTATGTAGTTTTTTGAGAAAACACCAAAACCCCCTAGGAGCATGCCCCCCATTGGATTTCTGATGTCTGGCTCCAGGACCATGGGACTTGTCCTCTGGAGTTTGAAGTCAACACATTGTAGCCACAGGAAGTGAGTGCCACTCCCCCTGCTTGAATAGTTCAATGGACAAAAAAAGTACAAAATTAAATCTCGTTCATTCCAGACACCTGCTGAGCAGCACCACAACCCTAGGGACACTCGGTGACAACAGTGCATGCGTCCCAGAGCTAGCTCAGCATGGCTCCTGGAGGGGGCGCCCGGGGCAGGATGTTGGGGAACACGGACAGACCCAGAGGTCCTCCAGCACAAGACTGCTCAGGGGGCTGTGCTGGGAGCCTCGTCCATCACAAGGAAGAGGAGCAAACCCAGACTCCCGTCTGGCCCACTGGCCTGTCCCGATGGAACTCATGGACACATTTGACTTTCTGACAAAGCCGGACTTTAAGACACACTCCCAGGCTCCAGGGCCTCTTGCACCCCAACTGGTTCTTCCAGTGTCTTGAAGAGGAATGTAGATGGTGCTGACCAGAGGCCCAAGTGGTCAGTATATGAGTTTAGTGAGGTTCTGGGCGCCAATCACCGCGGAGCCACGCTCGACAACCAGGACTCGGTAAACCGCAAGCCATCGACTGCCACGCACAGGGCGCGTTCTCAGGGCAGCTGCTGGGAGGCCAGACCTTCAGGCCCCTCATGGGGCTTCTCCTGGGCCCAGGACCATCGGCCCGCCAGCCTCCTCCCTCAACAGAGCACTTCCCAGGCCTCCCCACCCCCACCCAACTCACACACCAGGGGCCCCACTGCGCTTCACCACAGCTACATGCTGATGCAGGCCACCCCTCCACCAGCACACTGGACCACAAGAACCCCCGCACCTTCCCCTGCGTGCTTGCAAGAGGCAAACTCTACTAGATAGGAACTGACCTGACTCTCAGGAGTCACCTGCCCCGGGGCAGGAGGAAGCAAAAGGCCCAGTTAGGTGGCCCAACCAGGTGACAGGTGACACTCAAGCAGCTGCAGAGAATGTAAGTCTGTTTCTAGAACCTACCACACTCTTTGCTACATCCCACCTGGTAGTGTGCTGGGCACAGGACCCCTGCCCCTGCACCTGGCTCTCCTGCTTCCGTTGGCACACTGACCCATGGGGCCCAGCACCCTTCCAAGTTAAGATTTGGTTTCTTTGTTGCCTACATTTCAGACAACGGTCTGGAAGGCACAAAAAATAAAGTCACTAAAGAAAATGACAGCGGCCGGCGCCGTGGCTCAATAGGCTAATCCTCCACCTGCGGCACCAGCACACCAGGTTCTAGTCCCAGTCGGGGTGCCGGATTCTGTCCCGGTTGCCCCTCTTCCAGGCCAGCTCTCTGCTGTGGCCCAGGAGTGCAGTGGAGGATGGCCCAAGTGCTTGGGCCCTGTACCCCATGGGAGACCAGGATAAGCACCTGGGTCCTGCCTTCGCTCTCTGTCTCTCTCTCTCACTGTCGAAAGGAAGGAAGGAAGGAAGGAAGGAAGGAAGGAAGGAAGGAAGGAAGGAAGGAAGGAAGGAAGGAAGGAAGGAAGGAAGGAAGGAAGGAAGGAAGAAAATGGCAGCAAAAGCTGCTCTTAGACCAGACTTGTGGCACAGCAGGTTAGGCTATTGGTTTGAGTCCCAGCTGCTCCACTTCCTATCCATCTCCCTGCTAATGCACCTGGGAGACCTTGGAGGAAGCTCCCAGTTTGGCCTGACCACTGCGCCCATCTAGGGGGTGAACCAGCAGATGGAAGATCTCTCTCTCCCTTTCTCTCTGTAACTCTGCCTTTCAAATGAATAAAAGAATCTTCAAGAAAAAAAAAAAAAAGAAGTGTGAACCAGACTCATACATTTGGAAACATGACATATGACTGTGAGAAAAAAACATGTTCAGTAGTGTGGGATAACTGGTTATCCATATGGCAAAACAAGTCCTAGGGCCCGGGGTTGTGGCACAGCAGGTTAAACCTCTGCCTGTGACACCAGTATCCCATATAGACTCCACTTCCAATCCAGTTCCCTGCTAATATGCCTGGGAAAGCAGCAGAGGATGACCCAAGTGCTTGGATCCCTGCCACCACCTGGGAGACTCAGAAGATGCTTCTGGCTCCTGGTTTTGGCCTGGCCCAGCCCTGGTCTTTGTGGCCATTTGGGGAGTGAACCAGCAGATGGAGGATCTCTCTCTCTCTCTCCCTGCCTTTCAAATAAATGAATGAATCCTTTTTAAAAAGCTGGTATGTAAAAATTAACAAAATAGAAAAGAGAAATTAAACCTTACCTCAACCCTATACATAATAAATTCTAAATGAATAAAGCAAAACTATAACATTTTTAAAGAAAATATGAGACACACAGAAATGCACAATTCATTTAGGAAAAATCATGTTAAAACATTTGTCTTCTGGAATAAAAGACATCCAAGGTTAGGAAAAACTCCAGACTGAGAAAAGATACTTCCAGCAAACAAAAGTAACAATGAAGTGGTGTATATAATATATACACAAAGAATAAAATCCTACAAGTAAGAAAATTCCAAAGCCATAGCATTAAACAAAAAAGTACACTGTATACTGTTTGAAGACATGCAAAACAATACTGCTCATTTTTATGGTTCAATAAGCAGGTCATAAAAAATCCAAGAATGTGCTTCGGAAGGAGAACATGCTTCTGCAGTAGGAGAAAAAGGCAACAGAGTAAGAAAGATTTAGAGCCAGAA